TTGTGGAATATTTTAGAATTAATTTTTGAGGCAAATAATTAAATTTAAATCTAGACTCTAAGTTACTATGTATTAGTTGAAAGTATATCTAAAATTGCCAGTGGAATATTACACTACTGTAGGGTGTATATATAAATAAAATAGATATAATTTATAAAATATATTATGTATTTGATATCATACATTATTATTAGGAAATGAATCTCATTTTATGCTCCAAAAGATTTACCATCTTATATAACTTAAGAAAAAGTACCGGTATTGATATTTTATTTAATAAAAATATATTAAAAATGACAGAATGTGTATATATTTGAATTTAAAATTAGATTTTATTTTTACCCTTATTGACAAATAAAAAAGCCTTAAACTTTAATACAAGTAATAAGTATAATAATCATTTAAACTTTTCAATGATTTCTCATACTTTCCATTCATTTATGTGATATTAAAAATAAGTTATTGAAAAAACGTTTTAAATATAAAAATCTTATTTAAACTTTTATAAAATAATATAAGTTTCGTAAAAATTATGAGTTACTTAACATTGTTTTTATTAAATTATACTCAAATATTTTTGAATTTTGAATTACAAATTGACAAATATTTAGATTTATAAATATCAGTAAATAAAACATGGTGGTGCTTTTAAATTCATCATAAAATTTATCAATTTAAAATACTTTATCTAAAAATTTTACATAAAATACAGTATAAGATCTGAGTTGTGAAGTACTATGTTATATACAGTTCTCTATTAATCACCAGTGCAATATTACTAAAATATAAACATCAAGCATAATAATATAGATATTAAAAATTACACATAATTCATATTAATCCATATCTCTGTGAGAGCCCCTACTCTTAAAATGAATGTCGATTACCACAAACCCATTCAATAAATATGAGCTTTATACTTGTTGGTGTCAATCAACTTATCGCCTGGATCAGGGTCACCCGGGTAGATGATCCGTCTCAGGTGATACCCCGAGTGCAATGTGCCGCAATAGATAAACAAGGTAGTAAAACCGCCCAAAATCCATATCTGGTGCATGGAGTAGAGCCTGGACTCATTATGAAAGAGCACCGGCATGTTCAAATAGATATCAAAGTACCACAGGTTGGCCCAAATGTAACCGCAAATGTGAACCAGGTGCTTATGGTCCATGAGGACAGCCCCGTAGGTGAGTAGTGTGAACAGTGCCGTCACTACGATCTGATAGATAATGGGGAAGAGGTGTCGGGCGCGCATGACGTACGGCAATACCTCCCTATTCCACTTGACCCTGGCACAAATCTTCTCCATGTTCTTGACCGTTGCCGACACCCGTTTCCTGGGGAGGGAGCAGAGGGTCCACTTCGGGACGATTACCATAATGTTTGCGATGAGAAAGACGACGCTCACGAAGAACCACATGAAGATCAGGGTCTTAGTGGTCGCCCACAGGAATCGCTTGGGATCGCGAATACAACGGCACCGGATTCGGTATAAGTACAACACATCCGGACATAGTTTCACTGAACTCATCTCGATCAATCGGCATATGTAGTACCACACTAGTGACAGTATTGACAGCATAGTAGTCATCTAAAATGATAAGGGTGTTTTAAATATAGTCAATAGTATTATTAAAATAATGAATAATTTGTGAGTTTGAACAAAAAGGTCTTTATAAGGGATACCTTTGATATTATGCTTAAATCTACTGTTTATGTGTCAAAAGAATTGCAATGTTTGTTAAGAAATCAAATTATTTATAGTCAGTAATAGTCAGCAAAACTTATTTTAACCAAAACACTGACTGTTGTTAGGAATCACTGTCTGGCACTAAATATCCCTCAAATTTAATGATTTTAAAATGATAATTATATAATAATTTATTGGTCTATTATTGGGATCATTAAATAACACTATATCGTAGATAATTATTATTTATTGTATACAGTGATATCATTTATATATGGCCTTTATAAAAAATATATTCTAATATTTATAAGCCATGAATATATTGAGTGTTATGTCAAACCAAAAAGTAATTGAAATAAAGAATTCTGTATTAATAATAAAAGAATATTCTGTATATACAGTACTGTATATAATAAACAGTACATATCATTGAAAGAATTAGTGGTTATCATAACTAACATATAACTGTCAATAACACACATAAAGTCAGAGATATGTGGAAAGCAAAGCCAATTGAATCCTAGGATTTATATTATATAAGACATGAATATTATATTCTATTCACACATTTCTTCTTTTCTTTATTTATTTATACATCACTTGAGATACTGTTTGAGGTTTTTTTTGACAATTCCCAATCCGATCCGAGTGTAAATTATAGGCAAGGACAAATTACATTTCCAAATCTCACCAGGTTAGCCGTACTTGAGATAACTTACCACATATTTATTTATTATCAGGCATAGTCTCAAATATTCTTTACTAATAATTTGGTTCCTTTTCTCAAATTATTTTCAAACAACTTAATTCAGTTATAAATATTTTATTTATTTAATCTCTCTCTCTCTCTCTCTCTCTCTCTCTCTCCTGTGGTTAACTCAAAACTATTTTAATATACTGTAAATATAAAAAGATATTTGTATTTAATATTACATTTGTATATATCATAAAACCTATATGAGTTACAATAAAAAAAAGTGGGATTGAAATCACGAGTGTTTAGGGATTAGATTGCTTATTGTTTAGTAAAACATGTAATGTTAAGTGATGTAAGCCATAGAGCGATAAATAATTCATAGAAACGGATTAATATTGCATAAATAGTAAATCTGTTTTGAACAATATGGTTCAGGTAAACATGAATTTCTATAGAAATATAAACATCATACACGTATTAGTAAACATTTTGATTATTTACATTTCGGATAAACAACCGGAAAATCTTATTATAGAGAAGTAAACGTTTGCTGAATATATTATAAAGAATTGTTTTCTCTTAAAATTCTTGTAAAACTTTATGTTCAAAAATAAATATTTGAAATCATTATAAAACTTTTCAAATAATAATTTACATAATAGTAAAGCAAAAGCTTGAATTTTCTAATTAATAACTAATATTTAGTTAAAAGGTTTCTTTAGCTCTTTTTATAAAAACAAAAGTTTAATTAAATTACAAAATAATGTTTTGAACTTTCAATTATGAAAAACAAAAAGTCTCTAATTTTAAAATTCGTTAAGATAACTCATTATTTAATCCTTGCTCAGTTATTATTTAACATGAAGTGAAAACTTGTAAATAGCAAAAGGAGATTATTATTTTTTAAAGTTATGAAACATATGATATTAAGATACATTTAAACAGTTGTATCATGATACTGTATGATATTTAAAAATTATAAAAATATATAAGCTATGATAATCTAGAATATAAAGTGAAACCCCATTTTATAAACATTTTTATTGTTGAAATTGAAAACCATTTTACAAATAAAGTTTTATGAAATGAACTTCAAATGAAATTTCCATTTATATTAATCTCAGATCTCAAAATCATTTTAAAAATTATGTATTCATTTGAATTGAGAATATTATGAAATAAGATAATTTGTATTTTTGTTTAAATTATATTTCTTTTCAAAATTTACTTTAATTCAAAGTTTTAAGAATTCATTGCAAAACAGTTGTGAAGGAGATTAAAGTCATTTGTATTTCAATTTGATTTGCTTTTTAAATTACATTTACTATTTCAATGCCTAACATTTATTACTCTAATTTTCAATGAATGAGATTTCAATTTCACTTTATTCTCATTTTATATGCAAATTAGTTTATATATTATGTAAAGATTTTAATTAAAATGATAAATATAATTTAAATCTAAAGTTCATTATTATATCGTATCAGTATTATATGATAGGTTATTAATTCTAAAAAATTATTTTATTAGCAAAATATTCTGCAAATTTCCAAAGATTTTAAAATTTTTACTTAACAACTTAACTCATAATTAATAAAGGTTTAAAATAATTACCTTTATTCTATTAAAAAATTTAATTAAGAGAGTTAAATATACTTTTATAGTAAATTCCCGTAAATTACATTAATTTCACGTTAATTACCAGAATTTTTCCCATATATGAGCTATGAGTGAACTCCCGATTCTTTAAAACTCCGGGTAAATTCATGACGTTAGGTAACCCTACACGATATTGGCATACAAAGCACATTCATAGCGCATATTCTGCACTACAATTCACTTTTTCGCGTTTCTATGGTTTTCTTATAACTTTTATCACATATAAAATTTCATAGCACTGTACAGAATATTCTACTCGTAGAAAATTATATATCAGTATTTCATTACATTAGAGTTGAATGATTTTTATATTAATTTAATTGCATTTTCTTGTAACTTCATTTCACTTTGGTATATGTAATGCAGTAATTCAGTAACTTAAAATCATATAATAATAACATTACATATTACAAGTTTACATAATACTATCGTTTTAAAGATTTAAGTATTTTATAATAGCATAACTATTTTGACATGTGTCTCGATTTACATTATAAACTTACAGTATATAAACTTTAATGTAAATTTTTATGTTGCCGATATTTGTATGTATATTATTGTCATATAAAAATAATAACATGTGCTCTATAAATGATCATCTAGAAATGTATTTCAAATAACATATCTTTTAAACTTAAGACATTTGTTTACAAATCAAGGTAATTCATAAAAGTTCTTATATATCCTTGTTGTATAGTCACACCACTGTTAAGTACATTAAGATATAAGAAATATTGATATTTTTAGGTGTTAACTTAAATACTGTATTATACTCTATTATACTGAATTATACTGTATTAAATACTCTAAACACACGAGTTTTATTATATAACTATTATCTAAGTTTCACATTTAATATGAGATAAAGCATTATAGTTATGATAATAAAATTATATAAATAAAACCTGTTATAAAATGTAAACACAGTTTTAAAATACTTATATTTTGTTTCAGATCTGTCTTTTAACTTTTAATCGCAAATATTGGTTACATTTTGGCGACAGAAATGATTGTTAATTACAAAATATTCATTACACATTTATAAGCACAAGTGAAGCCATAATTAATAAATTATAATCAAAAGACAATTAATGTGCGAAACAGCGCCGACAATGTCGTCAATTGTCATCAATACTACCTATTCCGGCGATGAAGGTATGTCTCATTTTATATATTGTATTATTTAATGTATTGTCATAATATGATTTTATTATTTAACATTTCTTAATAGAATTATTATTTTATTTTTATAGAAAACTAAAAAAGTAGTTATTAGGAAATTAGATATTTGCGCAATAATGGTTAATAAATTTATTTACATAAAAAACATACACTTATCTATAAGTTTTAATACTTTGGAAATGATCAGAAAGTTTGACTTATAGTCTATTGCCAATAGACATAGTCTTATGGGAATTAATTAGTTGACATAAAAACACTATGCTATGTAGACAATGTTAATGGGAAAATGCTATATAAAAAACAAATTGCCTTAAACATTTTAATGGCATTCATATCATTCTTATACAATCCTTATGTGAATTGAGTCTCTATTCTGTGAAAGTGTTAGTGTTAGCGTATTTTTGGCAAAAATAAACAAAAACTCAAAACATATAATAAGTTTAGCACTCGTTTGCTATTCCACGCGTGAATTATTTCATTTGAAAGTATACCATAAGAAATGTCTCACAGTTTTGCCTGACATTTACAAAAACTTTTTCGGCAAAATAACAGTTATGTAAATATAGTCTCTGTTCACTTCATTTAACTAATTGAGTGAAACTCTTATGTTATATGCATTTGCTTTTCATGTTTTGCCACCCGATTAGCACTCATGTCATACACTATACTTTATTTTATAAGTGTGTCTTTTATACTGGACTACAAATAGTTATTGATATTAAAAAATTACATTAACTAGGTATATTAAATTATAGTAATTATAAAGTTATTATTGTTATTATTAATTATAGTTTCTAATCACACACTGACCACAGATCCGGAAAAGCTAACCAAACTGATGGAGAAATTGGAGGAATACATAAACAACAGGGCGTTGGACAAGATGAGCCTCATATCACTGGTCATTGCGTACGCGATACTCATATTCATCGGCACTTTGGGCAATGGGTTGGTGTGTGTAGTGGTGGCCCGTAAGCCCAAAATGCGGACCTCAAGGAACCTGTTTATCATCAATTTGGCCATAAGTGACCTCTTGTTGTGTTTCTTCACGATTCCCTTCTCGTTGGTCGAGATATCTGTCAAGTTTTGGCCCTTTGGTATGCCGTCCATTCATTGCCTGCTATTGTTTTATGTTAACTCATAGACTTTATACACTAAAGATTTTGATATTTAGTCGTAAGCAAAAAATGCTTGTAAGAAGCGAAAGATAAGCCTATATTAGTCAGGACTCATCCGATATATTGAACCAGATATTATGTTGAAAATCATAGATCAAAGTTAAATAAAGATTAAGAAAAGTAAGATTAAGTTGTGAATAATTGAACTTATTACAAATTGACAAATATTTAGATTTATAAATATCAGAAATAAATAAAACATGGTGGTGTTTATAATTTCATCATAAAATTTATCAATTTAAAATACTTAATCTAAAAATTTTATATAAAATACAGTATAAGATTTGAGTTGTGAAGTACTATGTTATATACAGTTCTCTATTAATCACCAGTGCAATATTACTAAAATATAAACATCAACATAATAATATAGATATTAAAAATTACATATAATTAATATTAATCCATATCTCTGTGAGAGCCTCTACTCTTAAAATGAATGTCGATTACCACAAACCCATTCAATAATTATGAGCTTTATACTTGTTGATAAAACTGTTGGTGTTGGGGTCAATCAACTTATCGTTTGGATCTGGGTCACCCGGGTAGATGATCCGTCTCAGGTGATACCCCGAGTGCAATGTGCCGCAATAGATAAACAAGGTAGTAATACCGCCCAACACCCATATCTGGTGCATGGAGTAGAGCCTGGACTCATTATGAAAGAGCACCGGCATGTTCAAATAGATATCAAAGTACCACAGGTTGGCCCAAATGTAACCGCAAATGTGAACCAGGTG